GGGACCTGTTCATTGATGGACTACGTAACAGAACGATTCGGGGGAAGCTACGTAAAAACTTCTCTCCCATTAATCACACGCTGCAACAAATTATGTACGCTGCCGAAGAGATGGAGCGGAAATTCGCAGCTAGCTTCTTAGAAAATGAGGATTACGGTAGAGAAGGAGACTCGTCCGAACTTGTGAAAGCAAGGGCGGAACTGGCCGCACTACAAAACAAATTCGAAAACATGGGATTCGTAGCCGGACCCGTTACGTATGTAGAGCAGGTAGCACCGAGGACCGCACCCCATGAAGCGACTGTAGATAGGCAGATCCCGGTAATGGCGTCCCCAACCGTAACTCGGCCACCTCCACCGCCACCCACCATCGAGTCACCTGCAAAAACGAATGAGTCTACTGCTATCTTGGAACTAACTAAAACATTGGTTAGTTTAATCCAAGAAAGCAAGAAGGAACAACGAGAACACAACGCCTGATTAGAAGCTATGATGAGGAATATGCGACCCATTGCGGTGTGAGCACCAATGCAGGGAGGCATGGCTGCTGCATAAGTGGCAGCGGGGCCAGCCGGGACAGCGACAAATGCCTGTTTTACATGTCATCAACCGGGACACTTGGCCCGAGATTGCCCCCATCGTGCCATGCAGCCCCGAGTCGGGATCGCGCCTGCTGCGGCAGCTCCCATAGCTAACGGCCCAGGACGTGTAGGAGCTGTGATGGATGATCAGGGGGGAAGTACGGGAATGATGATTTCCAATGAGGAAGCAGCTGAGCTTATCCCGCTGGAGCAGTACGTATCACTAGGATACCCGGGGCTGGGAATGATTGGGACAATTCGACCGGAACTCGAGTCCAGGGATGTCGCAGAATGGCGGCCTTCGTCGAGCGAAATGGAGACGGGAGGCCCTACCTTTGTTACAGGAGAAATCGATGTCCTTGAGGTTACTCGAGCACTGGATCATCGAATCCCTCTCTCAATCGGCCACCTACTCTCCATCTCGGAACAGACGAACGAACGCATGATGCAGCATTGCAAAGCGAACTGGAAGCGATTCGCTCTTGCCCGCGCAAAAGAAGAGAAGGCGAAGGCGCCGCCTTCGGAGGAAAAGGCGGACGTCGCCCCTGATCCCATCCAAGTCGGATTAATACAGAAAGGTGACCACTTTCTTCGGATCAAGCCGATTCCGTGGAAGTCAGCCGAATGTGATATTGAAGTCTGGGGAATGCCGTATAGTGAGATCATAGATTCGGGAGCGGCTGTCCTAGCGATATCACTTCGAGTAGTTGAGAGAGCGGATAGGAAGAATGATTTGATTATGCTAACCGAGAAGGACCAGCTCGTATCGGCTGACGAAGAAAAGATCAAGACAGTAGGACGTATGACGAATGTCGCATTCCGATTGGGAAAAGTGCATGCTTTAGGAGATGTTGTGGTGCTGGACGTGAATGCGTATGACGTTCTGTTCGGGCTTCCTGCATTAGTGGCGCTGCGTGCTAATTTGGACTTCGAACGCCGATCCGTCATTCTCCGGAATACCGGGGGAAAGTCGTATGTAATATCCATGAGACTAACTCTTCGAACGACGGTTAAGGTAGTACCCCGAATTTCTCCGGAAACAATGGGAGCGCTCCTCATGGTCTCCTGGAATGCACTTGTGGACGGAGGTTAATCATCGAACGACGTGTGGAGCGACGACGATGACGACCCAGTCGTTGCGCGGTTATTAAGGCAACAGATTCACTACCCGCCGCCTCGCACTATTGCGCGCACCATGCATCTAACCACACAAAATGCTCATATGTTGATCATGGGAGAACCCCTCGTACAGATTTCGAGGCTGGTTGATTCCTTGGAACCCCCTCGGACCCTGTACGAAGGCGTATCTCCCCTCCTCCTTTGGTATAGTGACAAGCGTTCCTTTTGTGATCTCACTGGCTTACCTCGATCCCTGCTTCAGCCCGCAAAAGAAGTTCAGTTGTTGCGTTTGAGAGCCGAAGCAGGTTCTTTGGAACCCCCTCAGCACATCGAGGCAAAATCCGATGAATTCGGGATCAAAATCTCGCCCAAAAACGTGCCCTGGCGAGACATCTGCGACGGGATAACCCCCGAAGGTCATACAGCGATCAGGGAGGAGGAAGCACAGATGGTGGCCACTGTGTTTTCTTGGAGATCGGATCACTCTTTTATATCTGCACCACCCGACACTACTCGGCGTATACACACGAAGCAGGTTAAAGTTCGGATTTTGGATCAGATGTATGAATTGCATGTGCCCCAGTATGTACCTGATGAGATCCATCGGTTGATCGCTGATATTTTAATAGAATATCAAGGGGCGATTAGCGTGTCCGATGCCGATATTGGATTATCCCTGGTCGTTCAGCATGAGATTCAAACCGGGAATCATTCCCCGATCCACTGCAAGCCATACCGATACTCGTTGACAGAGCGCAAGACGGTCTTGCAGCGAATCAGGGAATTTGAGGCAAACGGATGGATTGAGCCTGCCACCGGTCCCTGGTCRTTCCCAGTTGTRTTGGTTCCTAAAAAGAACGGGTCAGTCCGCATATGCATCGATTATCGAAAGTTAAATGATATCACGATTAAAGATGTGTATCCCCTTCCCCGGATTGATGATCTACTTKATGCGATCGGGTGTGCTAACTACTTCAGCAAGTTCGACATTCGGCATGGGTTTCATCATATCTTGGTGAAAGAAGAAGATCGGCCCAAGACCGCCTTCGTTTTGTTTGAAGGCACGTGGCAATGGGTTCGGTGCCGGATGAGAATCTGTAATGCGCCTGCCACGTTTCAGCGGGCGATGAACGTGAATTTTCAGAATTTCGTCAATAAGACGCGGCTGACTCAGGGGATGATTAACTTTTGTGTCATTATGTACATGGATGACATTCTGGTGTACTCGGACACATTTCACGGACACGCGCAGCACATCGAGTGGACGTTGGGTGCGTTGAGAGACGCTGGTTTCAAGATTGCGCTGGAGAAGAGAGTTTTTTCTCCTGGAAATCTCGTTCTTGGGGTATGTGGTGACACGTGGAGGCATGTGGCCGGACTCTCGAAAAGTCGCGGCGGTCAAAGAGGCCCCGGTTCCGACCTCGCTGACGCAGGTTCGAGCCTTTTTGGGCCTGGCCTCGTATTACCGGCGGTTCATCAAGGGGTTCGCGGCTGTAGCAAGGCCTCTGACAAACCTGCTGCGAAAAGAACAGCCCCTTCATTGGGATGACGAGTGCGACCAGGCCTTCGGGGGCCTGAAGGATGCTCTCGTCACGGCCCCGATTCTGATCCGATCGGACCCCTCTCGGCAGTTTATTCTCATCACCGACTGGCAGCCGGAGGCTATTTCGGTCATCCTGGCGCAGAAGGGAAACGATGGGAAGGAGCATGTCATTGAGTACGCTTCTCGGACGGTGCCAGACGAGCGACGAAATGATTCCGCGCCACAAGGAGAATGCTATGCGGTAGTGTGGGGTATCCAACACTTCCATCCGTATTTCTACGGTCAGAAGTTTCTACTCGTCACCGACCATGAACCTCTGTTGGCTCTGAAAAAGCTAACCAACTACACGGGCATGATCGGACGGTGGGCGGTGCGGTTGCAAGAATATGAATTCGACATTGTTCATCGAAAAACGGAAAAACACGGCAACGCTGACGGACTGACACGTTTGCACCGACCCGGTAAAGTACCAAAATCGGAAGAGATCACACCGTGGAAGGACCCGAACATCAACAACGGTCCAAAGTACAAAGAAGTTGCGGTTATTCCACGTGGCAAGAAGCCGGTGAAGGGCAATGGGTGACGGAGGTTATGTCCCGTTTCCCTCTCTTTCTTCCCCATCCTCTTCTTTCGCCTCCCTTCCTGACAAATTTTGCTATTTCTGCGAGGCAATTTCTCGAGTTTATTCCGTCCACATATGTCCAAAAGGGACGGGATATGTTGAATGGGTAGATTGTCGGAAATGTGTCGCACGTGCTCACGGTGCGTGCATACAGTATCAGAGTAGTGATAGACCCTGGTTTTGTCCCTTATGTCGCACTGACAAGATTCCGACAGAAGCCCGATTTCTCGATGCCACGTCGGAAGGCCCCGACAAAATCCAGAAGTTTAGAAAAGCAGAAGTCTGGACGGATGTCGCCTTGATAGCCACGGTGGTAGGCAACTCCCTCGAAACCTTCTCCAAGGAGGATCGGAGGAGGGCCAATGAAAGAGCACGGGATTACCGATGGGTGGATGGACGGTTAGAGAAGCGTAAAACGGACGGCAGTGGAGCATGGTTAGTAGTTCCGCACCCGTTCATGCGGTACGACTGGGTACGAACCGCCCACGAGGAAATGGCGGCCCATTTTGCCGTGCGTATTACCGAAGCTGCGATTGACAGAAATCAATGGTACTGGTCCAATATCCGAGACGACGTTAAATTCATCGTCCAACACTGCCAGGTCTGCGCTGCTGACAAGGCCCCAACCCAACCGCATAGGTTGATAGTCCCAACTATGGTTGAAAGGCCGTTTCAGAGGGTTAGTATGGATACTACTGATATAGTGGTGCCCCCTGGACCGAATAGTTGCGACTGTTCAATTCTGTCGGTTTTCGTCGAGCACTTTTCTAAGTGGATCGAGGCCTACCCCTGCAAGGCACGACAAGCCGCGGAAATCGCGCGGTACGTTAACCATTTTTTGGGCATGCACCAGGACACAGAGGAGATCCTGACCGACAATGGGGTCGAATTTAGAGGAGAAGTCGAGAGGAACCTGGTCATACATGGCGTCTCCATACGGCACACGGCCCCGCACATGTCCCAGTCTAACGGATTAGTGGAAAATGCGAATAGGGTGATAAAAACGGCCTTGCGGCGGAATATTGGGGCACGAGACCCCCGACCCTGGCCTGATATTGTTGACCACATCTTGGCGGTCCATCGCGGAACGCCCCACGAATCGACGGACCTGAGCCCCTTCCAGCTTCGGACCAATAGTGTCACATGTGTATCGATACCGAGCCTCCCAGACGAATCAGGACTCAACCGACGCCCCACAAGGGCCACCGCTCGGGACAAAGCCAAAAGGCACTTGGAACTCATGGAGCTGTCCCTACCTAGACTGGCCCGGAAACGCCAACGGTCCACCGAATTGGGCCACGGTCGACAGGTCCGGAGTTACGAGGCCCGGAACGGGAATGCGGGTCCCAGGACCCAGTATAAGTTAGGGGACATCGTGCAGGTAAGGAAATGTGCGCGCTAGGGTAAACTAGCGCCACGATTCTTCGGACAGTATCGGGTGATTGAACTCGGACCCAACGCCGTGGACACCGTGCTCCTCGCTCCCGAGATTTTCGACAGTCGATCGGCTCGCCCGATCACACGCCACGTGTCCTATCTCCGTCTTCTTCCCTCCGTTCTGTCTCCTTCTCCATCAACCTCTCCCGACGACGACTCTATCTCCTCTGCATCTCCTTCTCCTTCTCAATCTCTGTCGGATCCGCTGTCACCCTCGCCATCGCCATGAGCTTTATGGAGGAGAGAGCTCTAAGTGAAGAAGCGCTGGTAGCACAGGGGAATTTGACACTGCGGCAGGTGCATCATCCTCGTCTTAGTCCGGACCTTCAGCGGGTTGCGCAATTCTTCTGCTCGAAGGGTGTCTACGCGGCAGCAGAGATCCACGTCGACGGGAGGGTTGACGCGATCATATTGGCCGAAGCTGTCGGGTTGCGGCAGCGAACACCTTTGGACGTCGGCCGGATAACGGTAATGGTTAATTTCAGTGGGGATCTCGCGGCGATCCCTCCCATCTGACACATGAGGATCAAGGCGACGTTGCTTCTGTGGGCGCACAATCTTCAAAACGAGTGGACCCAGATCCTGGCGCACAAGGGGACGTGATCGCACCAATCCGAGCGATCGAATACAACGGCCTTCGGCTGGATCGGCGTGACTAGCCGACGCAATTACCTTCTCTCATCCCCTTCCATCCCCGATGAGTTCCTTCCCGATCTCTACTTTCGAGCTTCCTTCTTCCTTCCCCACCTTTTAGCAGTCCGATCTTCATCCCCGCCTCTCCTTCTGCATAGATCCTCTGGTTGTTCCCCTCATCAATCCCTGTCAGTGGGACGCGTGGCGCGGAGACTTCATCGAACTCTCACTGTGTTTGGCGGAAGTACGGGTGACGTGGACGAGGGACGAGAGCAATTATCCGCGGTCTGAGCGATTGGAGMTCCTTTTGATTCAGGCGTGGCGGACGGAAGTAGAAGGGGACCTTCTCGGTTTTCTATTCGGGGCAGTGCGTCCAGGCTGTCGAAGGCTTCTCACCCAGGAGCTTACGGTCCCAATTGCGCAGCTGGCCGACCATCTTGACGTCAGCATTGTCTCCCAGGTCGACCCGCGCTTGGTACCCCACGTCACCTCGCGCACGCAGTCGCCGTATCTTCAGTGGTCAGCTTGCGTGGAGGACTTCCCATCGAAAATTCCGCCTTCACGGTTGGATTATTTGGATCCGCGCGACATCGTGGATCTCGCTTTCTATAGACCGCCGTACGAGGACGAAGTGGAGGTCCGGAAGGAGATAATCCACAAGGAGCTCGCGGAAGAAAGTTCGGAGGAAGAGGAGGAGGATCTGAACGAAGACGAAGGGGAGCCGGCACAGCAACAAGAAGGAGACGAAGACGAGCTCCTGCAAACGGAGAGCGAAGAAGAAGCGGAAGAAGAAGACAGCGAGCAGGGGAGCGGTGATGACAACGACGAGGAGCAGGCCAACGAGGATCCCCAGCTAGAAATTGCGCCGGTTGCTGATCTTCCAATCAGCAACGATCCAATGCTCGACCCGGAGCCACCTCAGCCAGACGACGGCCATGTGGCCCAAGTGGCTGGGTCGTCCGCTCGCCGGCCTCCTTCCCCACCGTGACGCCGCCAACGAAGCCGCTCCCTCTCCGCCTCCCTCTCCCTCGCAGCCCGTCCCCCACTTCGAGCACGTCGAGATGAGGCCGATCGGTTTTCGTCCTCGGGCTCTCTCTCTCCGCCCCCATGACTTCCTCACCCTGCGCCAGCTCACCCGTCCCGCCGTCTTCCCCCACAACCCCTTCCCCCGCGACACTTTCCGTCATTACTTCTCCATCTGTCTCTCTGTCACAGTCCATCCCCACTCATCCTCCCGGCGTGCTTCCCCCGAGTTCCCTCTCCATGTACTTCTCTTCAGCATTGGATGGCGTCGTATTAACGTCGTAGAGGTTTATTGCCTCATCACGGGGTTAATCCCCGCATGCGCCGATTGCGATCGCTTTCGCGTGGCGCTTCTTAGAACCTTCGCCACTCTTTATCCTGACTACCTCGCTTCTCTCCCCACTACTAGCCGCCGATTCCCCCGCTTCCATAGAATCGTTCATCATCGGAGCCTTCCGGAAACGGACGACGAGCTGGAACGCTTCTTCCCGCCTATCCCAACTCATCCCCCATCAACACCTCCGCCTGCCTATCGTCTTCCTTTCCCTCTTCCCCACGAATGACGACAACCAGGATAGGACGGCCACGCAGCATGACTTCCATACTCGTTCGCACGGTATGCGACAGGAAAGAAGATCAACCATCCACGGCCAATCAATCGAAGATGAGCGACACGTCAGCAAGCAAGCAGGAACTTGCTTATCTTTGGAACCCCCTGGGCGTCACATATGTGACGAACTAGCTTCTGTAACGCGTGACTTTCGGTGCGAAGTGCTAAGCGGGGTCCCACGTCGATTGGACGGGTTGATGGAAAATTGCATGTGTGTCCTTGCCTTTTTGTTGTTTCTTCGTTCTCACACAAGCCCCTGATGACAGTTGGGGACAATTCGGGAATACCAGGGAAAAAGGGGGCAAAACTTGGTCGGATGCGGAGTGCGCGTCAAGTGCGCGATTAATAAACATTGACGTCCCTTCTTTTCTTTCGTTTTGTCGGACTCTTGGGCGCGCAGACATCGCGCGGGAATTTCAGTGTCTCTTTTTGAATTTCTTTCTTGAATTTTCTTTTCGAATCTTGGTCGGAGCCATACGGTCTTCGGAATTTTGATTTTCTTTTCGGACCTTTTTGGCAGCCTAGCTAGGAATTTTGGAATTTTGGAATTTCTGTTTTTCTGGGGCGCTGCTCTGCATGTTCGCGCGCTCTTTCCCGCTGCCGCGCCAGAACCTTGATTGATTGGCGCCTCAATCCTTTTTTGCAACTGTAATTTTTGGCGCATACTTTTGTAACTGTATCTTTTTGTTTCTTGCTTCTTCTTCTTCCCGCCTCGTTTCTTTTCCCCCCCCCCCTGCCTACATTGGGTAGCCGCGTTTGCATGTTCGGATCGATGCGTGGAGAGGGTACGTCCCCCACGCCGCGGCCCGACCATGCAAACGAAGGCACTCCCTCTCCCCCATCTATCTACGTCCTTGTAATTCCGTGTTCTTCGCGCATGCATGCACGCTATAAATTCCGGCTGCGCGATTAACTTGCTCTCTTAACAGTTGCTGGAAGCTCGGGGTTGCGTGATCGAGAGGGTCGGCACACGAGCGAAGTAAGAGGTGAGTGAAGTGGGAGTCGGGCGACCCGACGAGCTGGTGCCGAATGCGCGGGGTTGACGCGGGCCACGACGGACTCTGAGCGCGGAGCGAACCTGACGGGTGCAGGAGGACTAAGCGGGGTGACGGTCTCGTGTGTTGGTGCGCGACGACGGACTGTCGGCATCAGAGAGAGAGAGAGAGAGAGGAGAGAGAGTTGAGATTGAGGATGAACATGCATTTGCGCTTTTCTTTTCGTTCCCTTTTTTATCTGTGTATATAAGTTTTGGTGTCAATTACGGGCAATTCGCCCTTGTCTTGGCAGCCATATGCTCGTCCTGTTGTCCGATTTGGTTTTGTTCTTCTTTTCATCGATGATTTCTCCTTTTTCTTTCCTTCCTCGGAATCCTCTTTTGCAAATAATGTATGGATGGTTCGCGCACCCTCGCCTTTCGTTTTTTATTGTTTCCTTCGAACCCTCGTACATAATAAGTGAAAATGGGGGTTGCACGCTGGCGTGATCAATAGAGTGTGTTGGCTTGTTGTATCTTACGGATAGTCTGGAGCGCACCATCCGACGTGCCATAGGGACACATGCAAGTCCGATCCGGACGGAGCGAGGCTTACACGTGCCCCTACCACTCGGACTCACCAATCACATCTTAACTAATGCGCGTAGCCAGCCCCTCACTGAAGAAGGAGTTGATGTCAATCGGGATCGGGTTACCCATCGCGCGTAAGTGCGCGTAAGTGTGACTCGTTCGCATCTCTCTTACGCACTTAAGAGCGGTGATCTCCCCGATTAACTTATCCCCCCCCCAAGACGTGAGTGATGAAAGAATGACGAGCTCGCAGAGTTCCGACGTATCTTGGAATTCCGAGGATTACGAGTCGTATTTCGGGCACTGAGAAATCTGGGAAGAAGAACAACATCGGTTACGGGAAAATTTGAGGAACCCGGTATTCCCCTGCCTCACAGAAAACGATAGATTCTGCGCTAGGGAATTCCATCTCGCCGTACGAAGCGACCCACGGGGACCCAACTACCCAAACACGTACAACACGCAGTATTTCATAACTCCCGGCTTCGTCCTTGTCGCCAATAGTTTCCTGCCATACCACCTCCTCCTTCCCTATCATCAGCTTACAGTAGTACCGTGTAATTCCATAGCACCTTATTGGCCCTCCACCCCGTGCCGAAGCTGCAGGCGGCGTGCGCATACCCGAACCCCCGAAGCGTCAGCACCTAGGCTTAGTTCCCACCAACCCACGCCACGTGGCGGCCAACCCACGCCACGTGGCGGGCTCCGCAGGTGTGAGCCCCAAAGACCGCCCCGACAGGCTCCCCAGAACCGGCGATCGCGTCAGGATCGGACGGCCCCGCACAACCAACGTGCAAGCCCGCGCCTGTAAATTTTCCCATTGCTCTATTGCATCTATGCCCCTAAACCTTGCCACCGGAGATCTCAGTTCCGACCTGGGACTCCACCCCCACTTTCCAAAAATCCTTGTTACACCCCTTTTGCACTTCCAGGCCCACACCCTACTCCGATCAGGAAGTCGCGCCGGGCGTGAGGTTGGGGCGTCACAGCGGGGCCACGCGCCCACCTCTTCCCGCTCCCCTTCCCATCCGAGCGACTCAGGATCTGGGCGAAACGTGCAGGCTTAGACCTGCAATTTCACTCCATAATCAGAGCGTTCAGTCGTTCGCGTCCCCATAACTCGGCGGATCTCTCAGCGACTCGACCAAACCCCGGATCCCCGGCCCAACACTCAGTTTGACGGGGAGAGAGAGAGAGAGAGAGAGAGAGAGAGAGAGAGAGAGAGAGAGAGAGAGAGAGAGAGAGAGAGAGAGAGAGAGAGCAAGGCAGGATTTCATCGATCGTCGCATGGAGCCAGCGTTCGTCTCGGCGGACGCGAGCGCGGGCTCGTGCCCAAGCTCGACCTTCGTATCGGTCCCTCGCAGCGTGCTGCCGAACTTCCCCATCAGACGACGACAACGTGTAGTACTGCGATGCGGACGTGCGGAGCGCTCTGCAACGAACCGACCAAGTTCATATGTATAACCCCGCTAGAGCCTGTCATATCGGAGGAAGTGGGTTTGTGTTGATCAATCAGTTCTCTTCCCCTCCCCTGGTGTTGCCCTACACCGTTCTGAATGTGTTGCCCCAGTCCGCGGCCCACGCCACGTGGAGGCCTCGGTTTAACTCTTGCTGGTGTCATCAGGACTCAGGGGGATTAGTGCTCCTGGCGAAGACTAGTCCTGGGATACGAAGGTGCGGCTCGATTCCCAGAACTCTCCCGCAACGCGGATGCACTCCCGGCTAACTTCCAAAGCTGGGTTCCCTCGACCCGCCCGACCACAGGCGACCCCGTGCAGGCCCGCAGGGTCATCCGCACGGGCTCGACGAGTCTGACACCAAGGCCTGAAACCCGATCCCTGAGCGACCGCCCCAAGGACCACGCAAACAAGGTGCAGCAGGGAGGGGGGGGGGGGGAAACTCCGCCCCCTCGTCCTCCTTTTTCGATTTCATTCGCTTTTCCCTTTTGAGTTTTCATTGATGGTCACACTGGTGCGATCTGTTCCTCCGTCTCTTGCACTGGACAACGGATCGAAACCCCCAACAAGGCAACCCTCGTCCCGAAACAAGAATCCCCCGTTTCGCCCGGGTGATTCAACCCCACGGCCAAAAATCCTCCGCCACATCCCCCACTACTCTGATCGGCATTCAAAGTACGGAACGCTGCATGGGGTGTGAGGTTGCACATCACAAGCACTGCTGGGTGTGAGGTTGTCCGTCACAGTAGCTAGCACCCCCGTCCATCACCACGGTAACTGTATGCATGGTCACACTGCCACCACCCCCGAGCACACCTCGTCACAGTAGCTAGCACCCCCTTCCATCACCACGGTAACTGTATGCATGGTCACACTGCCACCACCCCCGAGCACACCTCCACAAGTTCCTTGAGCTCTGTTGTCTAGCACGCATGCCTTCCCATGGGCTACCCTCTTCACCCGAATAGAACGCCCGGTCATTATCGCTGCATCTGGACTGAAAGTTGGGCCAAATGCAGTTATAATGACCGGGCGTTCTATTGGGGTGAAGAAGGTAGGAATGAGAACCGCCTGATTGCCCTCACCACCTCACTGACACTTAATCTACAAACACTCTGCGTTTGATAACTTACAAATTTGGCAGGAGGTTAATCCTTCTCTATTAGGGAAGCAATCAATGCCTACTGCCGGACTTGTCGTCAAACATACAGAGATTCTTTCACTAAGCTCTTGCATCGCACAGAGATACAGACACAGTGCACAATGTGGTCAGACACAGATCATAATAGAGAGCGTAGCTGCAGTGTGCCTCTGTACAGCAGTTACAGTACTCAGGAAAATAGACAGTTATACTTGGAAATTGTCAATACAGAATAGACTAGCAGTTTGACCATAGTTT